TTTAGGGATCAGGGCTTAGGGTTTGGGGTGGAGTTGGACTTTCCTGCTTCTTGAGGTTTTGAAGTTTTTAGGGTTTGGGATGGGTTTGGGACCTGCTGTGGAGAAGGACCCGGGAAAGCGAGAGGTGCGAAGTGTATGCACTTCCCCAAACAAACATAGAAGCCCATATAGTCCCCTTTGTAGAGGGACTGTAGTCTTTGCAGGACCCTTTTTGTACGTGAGGTTCTTGCAGAAGGGGAAACCACAAATCAAGTTCACCAATTAATCCAGTGGGTCAGTTTCAAAACTATACATAAACCAATATATACCCTATGATGCTATAGTAGTTTCCATTTTATTTTCCATTATCCCTATATTTAGAAGCAAGGTCCAAGTGCGGGGTCTAAATCGCAAGCCTTGGGGTACTCTAAGCCCCGTAGCCCTAAACCCTAAACCTTTAACCAGGTCGCTGCAGATGCAGATTGAGCTTTCATCATGAAGTACCTGCCTCGACTGACTCCACGGTTTAGTTTAGGCTTTCCGGGGTTCAGACGAGGACAAGGAAGGGTAGGCGCGCGGGTTAGGGCCCTAGCGTATTCCAGAAAAGACCAGTTTCTTTATCGTATATAGCTATGACAATTAATCTACTTGTGGTTTGATATAGTAGATTCCCTTATTCCCCACTAGCCCCCAAGAAGGTAACGGGATTTCTATGATTGCTATGGGCCTTTGTGGACCTAGTGTAAGCGAGCTTAAGGCTGACAAAAATGTCAGCCCTCAAGCAGGCTATCATTCCATCTATTAGTCTAGAGTTTAGAGGTTAGGGTCAAGGGTTTTAGGGTTTAGGGGTTTAGGGTTTAGGAGAATGTGCCTGAATTCGTTTTTCTCTCTTGCCCCCCAATCGAAGGCGGCTTAATACTGAGTATTTCTTAAGAAGACCATAGGCCTGGCATGTAAACATCTGGGCTTCTCGGTATTAGCCGCACAGATTATTTTTGATATGTCCTCTCAGGGCTCCCTGAACCCTAAACCGCCCATGGAGAAGGTTGGGGGAAGGGAGGGAATTGCCTAAATCTTTGGGTCCCTGCTTCGGACGCGCGCATAAGGTCATATGGGCGCCAGTCTTTTGTGTACGGTGGGGCTTTGATCGGTGATTTGCATATGTTCATCCTCACCCTAATGTAGGATCCTTTCTTTCAATTCACGTCAGGTCCTAATTGAAATTGTTCAGCATGGGAGCATGTCCTAACATCACGTAGGGTCTCGGTCTTTAATCTTACCATCATTGCAGACATGCCAATTAAACTAAGATCCACCAGGTTGCTGCCTGGCAGGGAAGGAATGCTTTTCAACATCTACAGGGGCTTGGTAGATGAAGCGGGATTGCAAGTCGGATAGGAAGCAAGGTCGCACGCCGCACATATTCTTTTCTGTCCGACTAAGACTAAGACCACATCTTGCTTGGTTCTACCAGCCGCACAACCACCCTATGCTTCATATGAGCTGTAGTTCAATCTCCTTAAAAGGGGTGATATAGGGGATTATATATGGGGGGCTATTTTAGGTTTTTTCAGGGTATACTAGGAGTTTAGACTATGGTTCATATGGGAGCAGGAACCTCAGGGTTCCTCGGGACACAAGGGATGGGTTTAGGGTTTAAGGTTTTGGGATTACTGGGTCTTTAGAGGCCAACATTTTTTGTGAATCCGCCCCTGTACCCCCCCCTCCTTGTGTGTTAAACAACATGTAGCAAGGCAAGGTTCACGCGACAATGTCTCGCTATGTTGAAACCTGAGTCCTGCATAAGATTACTGGACTGCTGGAGCTGCTTTTGGGGTTTAGGACTTAGTGTTTAGGGTTTAGGGATATTACCCCCAAGAATGGAGAACCAAATGGGCTTGTCGGGCCCAATCTTCATGGCTTCGGGTTCAGGGGGCCTTAATTTTAGGGTTGGACTTGGGGTCGTGGTTAAGGATCATTTTGCTGGGTCCACTTGTAGGCTTTATTTAGTAAGTCTACTTAGCCATAGGGATAAACCCTAAACCCTATGATTGTGGGGCTTACGGTAGGGGCTCTTGGGGATGGTTATTAGACATACCAACTCAGAAGAGCTGCTAAGCAGACTGGCAAAGGTGTGAAGGTCAAGAGAAGGAGGGAATTGTGCTGAAGCTAGGCTTTAGGGTTTAGGGTTTAGGGCAGCAATGACCCAAATACATGCAAACATACTAGAACTCTGTACTAACCACCCACCTGAAAGCCCGGGCTTGACTGGAGATTACATGCACATCTGTCTCCTCCGCCGCTGTGTGACCTCAGAATACCGTGGTCTGTTAAACCGTCCTCGGGTTTAGGGGCTTCGGGTTTACTTCGAAGCCACCAAGCCCAACGGCCTCAGGGCTTAAGTTTAAACAGCATGGGGCGGCTGCTCCTGTCTGTGTACTGGGCGACGCTTACTGTCACCGAAGGCCTGCCATGGTATTGTTTTTTGGGATTTTTCGTTTGCGCTTGAGCAGGGAGGATGTGAAGTTTAGGGTTTATGGAGGTTCAGGATGTGGGGTCTTCAGGCCTTGAGAGTTGGGGGTGTCCCCCCAACGGCTACCTTTGCAAAAGATAACATGGAATCCCCATAGCTATAGTCTAAGCTCTTTCAAGTGGGGTTATATAGGATATTACATAAGGGACTATTCTAGGGTCTATCACGGGGATGGCCCATGTCAGTTTCGGGAGTTAAGGTGCCAAGTGACAGAATGAGGCAGCGAGGTGCTCTGCGGTCTGGTTTTCTCAGGGGTTTAGGCTTTAGGTTTTAGGCTTTAGGGTTGAGGGTTCAGCTCTGAACACCTGGGGGGTTCCCAAAGTTAAGGGTTCAGTGAATCAAAGGGATTCGGCGTGTGTATACATATATATATATATACACTCACTTTTAATCCTTAGAAGCCATGTCAGAATCCCAGTTTCATGCATAGTTAGACTTACTTCCCCCCTGTTCCTTCAAGTATGGTATTTTGGGGATAGAGAAGGGGGGAGTTCCAGAGTCGTGGTTGCTCTCCGCCGTCCTAGCACTAAGCTAAAGATGAACAGAAATTCTTCCAGCTTTTCAACCTTATTTTTTATCCAAATGGTAGCTTCCCAAATAGGAGAACCCATATAGACCCCAAAATGCTATAATCCTTATTATAGGGACACCCCAAAAAGCTACCCCTAATTTTGACAAGCCTCCAATTATACAATAGTGGCCAAGGCTCTAGATAGAAGAATAAGAGAGACTCGTGCCTGTGAGCAGCTTGTGCGATTCCTAGACACGTGGTTTGTTTTTTAGGATTTAGGGTTTAGGGTTTGGAGTGTTACTGTAAACCTCATGTATCCCAATGGGACCTATATTATACCATCCTCATGTAACGGGTGAGTGGTGGTTGCCAAAATCCTCTCCCCAAAATGGGGCCTAAAGAATCCTTAGGAGACATCTTCGGGAAATTCAAGGTTTGATGTGAACAGCCGTTGTGTCCTTTCATAAGCTCTGTCTAGAGGCAACACATGTGTAAACACGACTTTCATTCCTTCCCCCTAAACCCTAAACCCTAAGCCCTAAACCCTAAACCCTAAACCCTAAACCCTAAATAGTATCTGTTGTAGAGTACTCAACCCCACTTCCTTATTCTAATTCTTTATGATAGCACACCGGCGTGATGAAGAAGCCGTTTTGTTCCCATGGGGATGTCTGAAAGCTGCTTTCCCTAACCATGCTCTGATGGGACTTTGGGAAGGGATCTCCATAGATCTCCATAGTCCTTCTACTTGTGTTTTAGGTTTAGGCTTTAGGGGTCTAGGGCCCAAGGATTCCAAGCACCCATTCCCTCCCTCTCAACTGCGCATGAGAAAGCTTCTGCTAAAATTCGGGCAGGGCTTGTGTTCTAGAGGAGTTCACTAACATCTTATGCGATCCGCATGCAAAGAGTTCTATGCAACCTACCGGACAAGAGTGCTTGGCTTCCGTTTCATCGCCATAGCTATAGTGGCAAGGATGGCTCAGGGAGCGGTACTATAGCCAGCCAGAGTCATGAACAAGTCACTTACTGTGGAACTGAAGACTTGCCAAAAATGATCCCCTGACAATCTTCAAGCAACAGCCCCAAACCTTAATCGAGTGATTTACGCCGCTACATTTGCTGAGATCTCAATGTACCCTCAGAACCCTCAACCCGATGCCCTCAACCCTAAGCCCTCAACCCTAAACCCCAAACTCTCAACCCTAAACCCTACCCCCAATCCTAAACCCACCCCGAACCCTGAGCCGGAGCCACAATTGCAGGCACTCGTAGTGCTGGCTCTCTCCATGCGAGCTCCTACCTGGAGGTCCGGAGGCTTCAGAGAAGGTTCAGGGTTCTAATGGGTCTTATACCTGCTGGGAGTTAGTAGGGAATGGGGGAATATAAATATGTATATATATATACATATATGGAGAGAGAGAGAGAGAGGGTTTTGGGTTTGGGTTAGTAGGGAATGAGGGGATATATTATACAGGGAGTATATTGGAAGAGAAATCGGCAACTACTACCCAGGGTTAAGCGTTTAGGATTTCGGATTTAGGGTTGGGCCGCTGGACCCTGCACAAAGCAATAGGGACTACGAGGGATAAGGGTTTAGATGTTTCAGGGTCTAGGGACAGAGAATGGATCAGGGGTCTCTTCTATTCCTACTACACCATTGATGCAGGGTGGGGGGTCCACCTAATACATAAGTATCCACACAGGGTTGTAAGTATTCGCAGTCATAGATATGCTACTGGTCTTGCTGTTGTTGCCGCCAACATAGCCCAATCTACCGGTATGTAACCCTCACATAATTAGCCCCAGTCATAACAATTCTCATATACCAAATATCTTTGTCTGCCCTAGGCAACCCCAGATAACCCAGCCATACCTGCAGCCTACACCCTACACCCTAAACCCCTAAACCCCAAAACCCTAAAGCCCTAAACACCTAAACTACTAATACCCTGAACCCTAAACCTCCAAGTACGACAGATGCTGGAGCCTGCGCTGACGCACGACGAAGATCATCGTGCTTTCAGGCATGTGCACATTCATGTGACGTAGGGGTGTAGGGTTTAGGGCCTAGAAAGTAGAACATGGCTTAAGGTGTAGAGCTGAGGGGTTTGGAGTCTAGAGTGCCGGGTTCAGGGGCTGCCGAGGCCCAACACTTGTCAGGGTTTAGGGTTTGGGGTTTAAACGTGCTTTGAGCAGGATTGTGAGGGAAGGGTTTTGGGTATGATTGTAGAGGCAGGCTTCTCAAATTCCAAGGTGTGTGTAACATCTGTTCCTTGAGCTTGAAGGTGCTTGTCTGTCATTGGTGTATATAAGCTACAGTCTAAACTCCTTCCAGGTGGTTATATAGGGGATTATATAGGGGAGCGTGATAGGGGTCATTCGGGGGGGATACTAGGAGTTTAGGCTATAGGTTACATTAGGATTGCAGTGGGCTTGTGTGTAGGGACAACATTGGGCTAAGGTTGGAGATCCAGGGATTAGGGTGGAGGTGAACCTAATCCCTTAACCTTAAACCCTGAACCCTAAACCCTTTACCCTGAACCCTGAACCCTGAACCCTAAACCCTTTCCCCTAAACCCTTAACCCTAAACCCTTAATCCTGACCACCTTAACCGTACGCAATCGAGGAGAATCTGGCGCGGCGATTCGCATTCTTCCTATCTTGGTGCCGTCGGTGCATGCGTGTTGCACATATAACATGAACCACAGTCTAAGCTCCTAGTATCCCCCTTAGCAAGCCCCTATAATACAGTAGTCCCTGTATAATCCCCGGGCTGGAGCCGATGTTGGTCGTAATCCTCAGCTTTTGGCAGCAATAGGTGGGGATGCCCAGCACGCGTCCCTACATTTGGGTTCCTACCACAATTCAGGTTCCCGTATTGCAGTCTCCCGTTCTGGATACGGACATTTAGGCGCCGTCGTGGGTGAGTCTGGTGCTTTTGATGGGTGCTGACTCTGGCGCTTTTCCCAGAGGGCCCCATACCCCCTTAATCAAATCTATTTGAGGGTTAATTCTTAAACCATATTCGGGATCCTAGTATCAAGTAAGCTATATTCCCTGAATGAGGTGTATTGTTGTCTCCAGGGTCTTCGGCTCCCGCGCCCACCCTGCGGGGATAGGTTTGCTTGGTTTCCTCCGAAATGCCCAATTCCTCGGAACTCCTTGCCTAGACACCAAACCCGTATTCTAAAGCTTCGGTCTTGAGCCGTCAAGCCAACAATCCTAAAAGCTCAACCTCAGAGCTTTAGCCCGAACACTCTAGACTCTAGACTCTACTATTAATACTATTAGGATTGTTACTAGTATGATTATGATTACCATTATTATTAGTAATACTACCATGACAGAACTTCGACACCTGGAGAGGTCTGTGCGGGATGAGGGCGGAACCTTTCTGGAAGTCAAGTCCGAAACTGCATCGGCAGACGAGTTGGATGCGCCCCGGTTTCTTTTTGCACTGGCAGCAGCTAGAGTCTACTTGAGCAGGGTCTCTACATGATCCCGACGTATGCTCTGCTTCTGACTTCGGGTGTTTTTTATTTAAGAACAACTGATGGGATGTATCCCTTAGGGTTTTGCAGAAACCGGGGCTTGGCCTTTTAAAGTTCAGGTCTTGAGGCCAGGACTTGGAAAACCCAGAGGGTCTAGTGCTCATGGCTAAGCCCTAAACCCTAATCCCTGTAACATACACGCCTCCTGTGCGCCCTGGGTTGAGTTTTAGAGCCTGAAAGCTGCCCTTCCCAAACCCTAAACCATCCTAAACCCATAAACCCCTGACCCATAAACCCTGAACCCTTAACCCATAACCCCATAAACCCTAAACCCTTAACCCATAAAACCCCTTTACAAAGGCCGTAGTCTTTGTTCCATGTCTCAGATCCCAAACCCCACTCTGATTCCCCGCTTGATACCCATTGCTCGGGAAGATTCCAGCTCCTTGTTAGAGGTCGGGGCGACATAGTTGCCGTTTGTTCTGTACATGTAGAATGTAGAAATCCTTGCAACGTTGTGGAATGATATGCTGCCAAACCGAATTGTAATTTAGTAGCCCCCTGCATGATCCCTGACGCGCGTCATAGAGTCTGTTGTTTGGGCGCTCTCACAATAAGTTTTGTTCCCATTGTCTCCAGCCTTGCTCCTTTAACCTACTACCGATTTGAGGGGCCCACTCTAACCCTAAACTCCGAACAGGAAACCGCAAACTCTACACCCTAAAGCCCAAACCGCATTTTGGAAAACATGACATGGTTTTTCCTGAGCCTGCTGAGGCTGGCTATGAGGATGGCCTTTGTCACCTAGCTAGGTGAGCAAGGCTTTTCATGGTTCACAGTATATCTTATGGCTCTACGGTGTTCTCTTGAAGGGCTTACAAGGATATGTAGGGTTTACTGTAAGGGGTTAGGTAAGTGGAAGGACGCAGAATCACTTGCAAGAGAATGAAGAACTTCACATCCCCGTTCGGAACGCCATTCAAGTATTCCTTACATCCCCATATGTCCTTGAATATCCTAAACCCTAAACCCCACACCCTTATTTGTACCCATGTTATCCCTTTCGGGAGGCCTTACATAGAAACATCCTGTGGGCTTTGAGGCGACATCTGCATCTGGGCGGTGGCGCACATTGCAGCGCAGTGCTGCGATGCGGGGAGCTCTCCATGGGAGGCGGGTGGTTAGGGTTTAAGTCTGAGGTTAGGGTTTAGGTTTAAGGTTTGATAGGGTTTAGGGTCTAGTTTTAGGTTTCAGGGTTTAGTGTTAGGGTGTAGGGTTCGGGTTTAGGGGTGACACCCTTCCCCGGACTGACGCATGCTAAAGGGGTGTAGGAGACAAGGTCTAGGGTCCAGGGTTCCGGATCACGGGTTTGGTGTTTAGGGTTTAAAAGTGTGCTGTGGCACTATCTGATCACGGAGCGCAGAGCCATCAATTGAAAAATAAATCAAAAGCCATACTCGGTTTCTTTGGGCCCTATCAGAATGAGGGGCTCGGCGGGCACGGAGTTTTAGCAAGAGGCTGGGTTTTAGGAGGGTTTCCTTGGAAAGCAGTTTTGGCAGGGAGTGCCCACCCTCCTCCCGATAAAAACCCAGTTACCTGACAGACGAGAAGAATAGGGGTATTCAGCGCTAGTTAGGGAGAGGGTTGCTAGTATAGTAGTGAAAGGAGGAAGGGCCATTGAAAGCTATTTTTCAGAACCCGCAAAAAACACGTTGATGGCACCGATATCATGATCAGGTCCTTTGCCATTCTTTCATGTCCTGCTAACAGCCTAAGCCCTAAACTGGAACTCTTGAAGCCTAAAACCTCAACCCTGGGTCGTGAGCTGAGCGGCGTAGGGTTTAATGGGCAGCAGACACTCTCCCACGGGCTAAGGAAGTAAAGACCGTGTCTCAGGGACATTTCTAAGGAGCTTCGCCCATTGGAGAAGAGGTCCGATAAAAAACAACTGAAACCCTGAACCCTCAACAATGCGCCCGGCGGGACTCAAGAATTCGACCTCAGGGCATACGATGTACTCCCTAAGGGTCTAAGATACCAAAAAGCACGGTTTAGGCACCAAAAGCCATTTAGATTGTGGTGGCTTTAGGGTTCTTTGAGGCATAACTTGGGAAACTGCCTTCCCTCCTTATGCTACCGTCCTCTTCTTTTCAAAAGCTTTCTTCCCCCCAAACAATAGGTACCCATCATGTCTGAGACATGGTGTGGTAGTTTCCCTAAATAGGGCCCCAATAAAGACCCCAAAATAGTATAGTCCTTATTACTGGGACCCCCAAAACGGTGCCCATAATTTTGGGAAACCCTAAACCCTAAATCCTAAACCCTATATAAACCCCATAGAACCGCTATAGTCCCATATAACCATATTTGGGAAACCCCCGTTTGACAGAGTCTGGAAGTCCTAGCTATCATCCGCTTGCAATCTGCCCATAGCTCACGAGAAAGATCCCAGAACTTCATCGTCAACGCTCCTGAGTTGTTGTGGTTATTCTTAGGGTTTAGGTTTAGGGGTTTAGAGTTTAGGGTTTTTGTCCTAACCTTCAAACCAAAAAGCCTCAAAACCTAGTCAGGCAACCTAGGCCCAAAGCCTAAAGCCCTACGCCCCTAGCCTTAAATCATAAACCTTACCTCCCAAGCCTTAAACCTGAAAGTCTTAGTCCTAAACCCTCAACCCCAAATCCTAGACCTTAATCCCAGAACCTTAAACCTGAAGCCCTAAATCCTAGACCCTAAGCCCCCAAATCTTAAACTTACAGCCCTACAGCCTCAGATCAGCTGCGATCCGCACAAGCCCTCATGCGAGAACAACGCAACCCAGTTGGCAGAGAGCTTCAGGTAACTTTGGAATTTCAGTCCTTCATGTAGGGCCTAGGGTTTAGGGGTTTGGGGCTTAGAGAGGGATGCTACGCTGCAACGGTCTTATCCGAAGCTTATCGTCGAGACGTCCCACGCCTTGATTCTAAAAGCCCTTTTCAATTGCAACTTGGAGTACGTAGTGTAAGGACAGTAGGTTTCGCAATTGGGGCTCCAGGGATAGTGTCCATACCCAAATGTCCCACCCAAATATGTCCAACCCAAATGTCCAACCCAAAAGTGGCCAAACTAAGACTCCTCTCCCCTCAAAACATCAACATGAGGTTGCATGTGTGTGTGTGTGTGTGTGTGTGGGCGGGGGGTAGGTACGGATCTTTGTGCCTTTTGGAGTGTGCTGGGTGGATAGAGGAAATCTTTCACCACTCGATACATATTCTACACAAGCAGTTACCGCGTTGTAGGGTCCTACGTCGTACCAGAGTTCCTCCGCACACCGTATGTTTTATCTTCGAGAGGCATGGACCCAAGAGGCCGCGAGGGTTCATCAATCTCAGCCCCAAATCAAGACCTGGCAGCAACAGCAACCTTGAAGTTCAACCTTGTGCTAGTCCCGTTGTTCTAGTATATAGTGTTCTCATTGTTCTGGTTATTGCTACTTTAATATGATCATTTTAGCAGTAGTAGAACTGGTAGTAGTGCAGCTGTAGAAATGGCAATGGTGATTGCAAAGCCGGCTGGGAGTCCAAGAGCCTCGATCTCATGAACTTTTAAGCCTCACCGTATGCTCTCGGAGATAGAGTCCAAGACTGATCCTTTCCCCCAAATAATGACCCCCCACACCACCCCCCCCCCCAATAACAAACATTCCACGAATAAAGAAATGGTATTACATTGGGTGGTTATTAGGGTGTGGGGAGATATTTCTTATCAGGGGAGGGAATTACAAAGCAGAAGATCTTCAGGTCACCTACTCGCTCATGCGGAGGATAGCGCAGCTCGGTTGAATGTTTGGCTCCTCTGACTGTGCTGATTCTGGTATGTGGGCACAGGTTTCAGGCTTCGATTCAGGGTGCGTGATTCATGCAGAAAGATGCTTGAGTTCAGGTCCCCGCGTTCATGAGTTCATGTGTATTAGTTACCCTCCGTCCCTTCCTATCCCTCCACATGAGTTGGAACAACTCCTCGCGCGTCCTCCCTGAAGCAGGTAACACCAATGCCAAGGGCAAGTCAAACTTATTTCAGTTTTCTTTGAACATATCATGATGTAGAGGGCCTGAAGGGTTAATCATCTTTTCGGAATGCCTTGTGCCTCATCCTTGTGCATTCAAGATATAAACTACCAAGCGCCCTGTGCGAATGATGGAGCCCCAACCGCAAATTGTTCAGGTCCCCGTCTTGCTGCACTGCGCGGCTCTTAGCAGGATGCAGCCGAAGAAGATCTTCGTCTTCCACCAATCAAACATGAAAACCTCCACCCCGAACCCTAAACCTTCAACCCCTAAATCCTACCCCAAGCCCTACAGTGAAGCCCAAACCCCCAACAACCCTTTGCGCCGAACCTCTGAGTTTTCAATTACCTGGGTATCCAAAACTTTGCTTATACTTGGGGTGTAGGGCTTATGCAAACTACCCATGAGCCTTACTACTACGAATAGAGGGCCATATAGGGGTATGTAGGAGTAACAATGGAAAATCAGATAGAAAAGCAATGGCAAACTAGATGCCAACTGGGCGTTCGTGCCGATGTATTAGGGTTAAGCTGCTGGTTGTTAGTAGGGAACGAGGGAATCGTAAAGAAAAGGGAAACTATTATCCCTAAACCCTAACCACCCCCCAAAAAAAACCAAAGCCCCAAATTGTATGAATGCCCCCATGTATGCCCTGAACCCCAGGCACACGCGGGAGAAGAATCGGAAGAACCCCTGCTGGCAGGGCTCCCTATTCTGCAGCGGGACCTCCACTCAGGGCTTAGCGTTTGCGGTTGGGGTTTAGGGTTTAGGGTCTAGGGTTTAGGGAACTAACATAATATGGATGTGTAGTACGTGATAGGCGTGTCTCATCATGGTACCTTGTTTTTCAATTCCTTGATTTAAAGGGTTTTCAAAAGTATGGCTTCAATTTGAGCACGCTAAATTGTTGGGGCTATTTTGCGCTGCCAGCCCCAAAAGGAAGCACAATTTTGACAGCCTACCAGTCGGGTTCCCCTTTTCAATTTCTGTCTGTCCACGATTACGTAAGGTTTTGATGCAGCCCAAAACCCCTCCACCCCTAACTCCACCCTAAATCCAAAACCTATAGCCCCAAATCCTGAACCCTAAACCACCAGCCAGGAGACGCGAGATGTGGGACCGCTGCTGGGACTTCGTTGGCAAAAGCTTGGGGCTGACGTCTTATGACACTACGCGTTTGAGCTTAGGGGTTTAGGGTTCATTTTGGTTTGGGGTCTGGGATTAGCGTTAGGGTTTCAGCAAGGGGTGCTGTGGACAAAATTCAAAACACGAGTTTCATCCCATAACGCAGACTTTGTGCAGAGGGACGAGTAGTCTTGGATGCTTGCGTTGTGCAATGCTGGCTTCTCGAACATCACCCAAAAATGTCAGACAGACAAACTTCCACAGCGTCCCTCTGCCTAGGGTCTAGGGTGTAGGATTTAAGCGTTAGGGTTTTGAAAGCTGCTTGTTAACATCATCATGGCGATTGCGATTCTCAATGATCTTGTGGACACTAATGTGGCACGCATGTTCATTCTGATTGCTAGAGCTGTACCTATGCCGCTGTAGCCATCCTAAACTTTGAGCTGAAACTTCCAAATCAAGACCCCCCCCACCCCCCCACCCAATGGCAGGTTGTCATGATTGTTTGGGGGGTGCCCTAAGTATTAGGGACTGTGTTATACAAAGGACCCAAAACACACATGTCACAACTTAAGCCCTGAAACCATAGACCCCTAAACCATAAACTCCTAACCCTAAACACCCATCAACCGTAAAGTGAACTCGAAACCCTAAATCCCTAAACTCCATATAACCTAATGACAAGGTGTTTGGAGCGACCTCACCGGGCTCGGCAACATCCTTCATGACTGGCAGAGGTGCTCTTATGGCTTTTGCGCATACCTGGGGGTATGAGTTTAGGGATACATAAGGGCGTACCGGCGTATGTGGGGGTATACAGGCACAGGGATGTGTAAGAATTTCGTTTGTGTTGCTTACATCACGCATGTGGCACTTGCTAAGGCTTGAAAAGGTGAACAAGCAGACCATCATAGGGTAATATTACTACTCAACATAAGAAGTTGTCTCTAGTCAAGGTCACAACAACGACATTGCTTGTATGCAGAATGGCATCAACAATCCGAACTACTAGGATAATTTTATCGATGGAGACATGCTAGTCTTTTTTTTTGTTGGTTCAGGTTGTCTCCAATGGCCTTGGGTGTGTGTGCAGCTGGAGAGCAGAAACCTCTCAGCCAGAAGCCTTCATATTCTTAGCCCGATTTTGGTCGTTGGTCGAGAGTTCTCTAATCCCAGGCCTACAATTGAGACTCAACTGTCAAATCTTGCACCCCATACGCCGTGTACGTGAAATCCTAAACATTCCCTAAGTACCCATGTATACAGGATCCACGTATACAAGCAATAACTACCGTGGGCCCTAAAGCTTGTAAATATTACCTACATTGTGGGCTATTTGGATCCCTAGGGATTAAGAAACCCTAAGCCCTGAACCTTAACCGTTAGATTTTAGACATTGAAGAGCTGCAGGATACGGCCCATGAAGCCTAACGAAGCCCTGGCGGCATTCGAGATTTGCAGGCTGACGCTTCGCCATCAAATGGCATTTTCGAGAAGTCATCCTGGGTTTTTTTAAATAATGACCGTTAAGTCTATGGGGAAGGGAAAAGAACATGGAAACTACTATGAGGGTTGAGGGTTTAGGGCTGAGGGGTCGAAGTCGAAAAATGGTACCAAGTTTCACCCTAACGTTTGTAAATTGTATTGACTTTGAACCTTCGGATCTCAAGGATTTCGGTTATCCATCACATGTGTTTACACCATATTTCGTCTGGATGCACAAAAGCAATACCCCCTGGACCCCAAACCCTAATTGTTGGAGCCCGGGGCAGCGGCCTCTAGGCCTGTATTGTACGCAGTTGAAGTGGTATGCCCCAGTTCTCTCCCCAAACCCTAAACTGCGCCTGCCACCCCCAAGTCCCTAGGGTGCTTCCCCCACCGTCTCATCAGACATGGCCCCTTACAAAGAACGCAATACGATAGTTTCCGTAAAAGAGGGGCCCAAGAAAAAACTACAGACTCTTCTAACCCTCATTAGAGCGGGATGCTTAACGAGTGCAAGCAGTAACCCTAACCCTACACTCTACACCCTAAACCCCAAACCTTAAGCCCTAAACGCTAAAACTTACTCCCTAAACCTTAAACTCAAACCCTAAACCCTTAGCCAACGCTTCCTGCCTGTTTCCCTAAAACCACCCACAGGCTCAGACCCGGAACCAGGGTCTCAGCGCGGCATAATGCAGGGGCCTAAACACTGACCAATATCATGCTCCATTTGGGGTCAGAAGGGAGTTATATGTAGGGTTTATGATTGGGATCTAGGGCTAGGGTTTCTGATATTGCCCCACTGGAGAATCAAATGGACAAGAACATGGAATACTTAACGGACACCAGGGTTGTACAGGAGGTCTTTGGGGATAGATGGTTATAGTCCTAGATGCCCAGGCCTCAAATCGTCATTGGTATTTTTTTTTTTGACCCTAAACCCTAAACCCTAAACCCTAAACCCTAAACCCCAAGCCGGCTTCTACGTTCTTCTCAAAGCACCTTGGACCCACATCTCTCAGCTTAAGAAAGTTTTCGAGGAAATTTCCAGAGGGCTACTTGTATGAGCTACGGCTGTATAACATAAGTGGGAGTTTCCTAAAATGAGGGGTACTCTTTGGGAGGTCCCTATAATAAGGACTATAGTATTTTGGTGTCTATATTGGGGTCCCCCTATTTTGGGAAACTACCAAGTCTCGGAAGATTACCACCTAGATAGTTGGAGGTCTTGGTAAGTAGACTGATGACATGAACCCTATAATCCACATGTTACTAGTAGACCCCAGCTATCCCCATTCTTCTCCTCCTTGCTAAGTGTCCCTAAGCCCCAAACCCAGAATCCTAAATGATTTAGTAGCTTCCATTTCTCACCTATTTACTAAGTCCCCCTGACCCTGTAAGTAGGGACTCCTGTAATCCCAGGGACGTCTCGGAGACTTACGATTGCGTAGGCGACGTGGATGTGGAGCACCTTGTCAGCCCTTGAGACCTCAGACCCTAAACCCTAAAACGGGGGCCATCCCCTGAATGGAAGCCTGAAATGCAAATCTTCAACCCTCAGCCCGACCCTTGGAGTAGTTTTCCGGACAGGTACTACAAGCCAGCTTTTAGGCTGCCCCCCCATTTTGGGGAATTCTCTCTGCGATCTCTAGCGCAGCTTTTCTGAGTGTTATATGACTTAGAAGAAGGATGTTATAGCTTGGTTAGGTGTGCATATACGTCAGTATACATGCGTGGCTACGGTATAAAGTTTGCTAGGGCCCACATGTGGGGACGAAATTCGCCTTCGCATAGTTTAGCGCTGGCCTTCTTGATCTCGGCTACTTCAACGCTGAGAATGGAACGTGGCGACAGGTAAGGTTTGGGGGTCTATGAAGAGTAGGCCTACATTCTTGAAGTAACTTCGATTGTGCAGGGGCACTCTAGACCCTAAACCTTGGGTACTGCCCCCACCCAGTAACAGTCTATATTAGGGGTCCTTTTAAGGGCTATACATAGCCATATTATGATTATCATCCAACTGTTACTGAGGGGGGGCAGTACCCAATCTAAGCCATACAAACTTGGACGTTTTGTGTGTGCATGACTTATTCAAGGGTTTTTTCCAGAGCAGGTACATGAACCTTGGAGGTTGTCAATCCCAAGCCTGCAACCTGAACCCCAAGGGTTTAGAGTTTAGGGTTT